AACAAAATTAATTTATCCTTCTCCGGAAATATGTGGTTTTTGAATTTTCATCAATGCCATCTTAGCCAACTTATATTTATAAAACATTTATGCAATATTTTAAATATTGTATTGGTAATATCTATTTACATCCTACCGGTCGAACCGTAATATCAAAAACAGATATAATAACAAACTATTGAAGATGAAAAATTCAATTTAAATGTTTTATATTTTCTTATATTTCAATTTCATAATAAGAAAATAATAATAATCTCAACTATACACTAAATCAATTGAAATTAATTCAATGGGAAAAAAAAAAAATAAATATACAAACCAAAAGCAACAAACATCACGGTCTCCTGTGGTCAACACATTACAAAAATTGAAAAAACTTTTTATTTATTTATGTTTCATTGAAAAAACAACTAAAGATGTGTTTTTTTGTAATATATGAGAGAGGGAGATGAAAAATATAAAAACCATAGATGCAAAGCAAAGCCATCTCTCTCTCTCCCTTATGGTATTCTACATGATTCTATGACTTCAAGAACAACACTGTGAGTCTCTGGTGATATCATGTTCAGTGTCATATGAAATTCCTGCAAAAATTACAAACAGCATTAGTATTGACCGGAAAATTCGATTGGGTTTTTCACCGTCTGATCACACACAATATAATGCTCTCGTTTTGACCAAACGATAAAAACCCAATTTGGGTACTTTTGTAATTTCTTAAGTTAACTGTGGGATCTCACGGTTAGATCAAACCTTCGAACCAATTGTAATTAAACCCCAAAAATTACCAGAAATCTCTCCAGTACTGGGACGAGTGCTCTCAAGTTGTGATTGGGCAGACAATCTGAAATTGCATTGCGTACGTTTTGGCTGGCGAGAAAACACGGAAGAAATTATACGTATGAGCAGCACAGTTAAAACACAACGCAGAAAATTAATGAAGTACTAATCCAGTTACTAATTTACTGTATTAACCTTTCTGTTGAAAGGAAGGCAAGAAGGAGAGCTGCATAAGCTTCCACGATCATTTTCTCGGCTTCTTTCTCCCCCTGTAATATAGACTCTTCGTCCTCCTGCAAAGCACGGTTTTAATTATTTGTGTATATAAATCTTACAGATGTTCAGTATATCACGTTTCAAATTTTCCTCTTGCATGCATTTGACGATTTGATCAAAGTATGAGGACAAAAAATAAATAAAACAAAATTCCTCACCCAAGACAAATATGTCTCCTCTCCAGTGGCATCAGTGTTGCTTTGATTAGCCAAAAAGATTGAGCACAGTAGAGAAATAATATCACTTTGATCTTTCGAGGCCGAACCTTCCGGGTTTGGTAATGAAACAGTAGCCGCTGCAAGCCGAGATCTGGAATACGATAAATTTCAATCAGACGTTTCTTCAATTAATTATAAAAAACGACATCAACCGAAAAGAAATTTCCCAAAAAATAGAATAAAAAATAAAAATGAACTGACCCATTGTAAAAAAAAAAAATAGAATGGACAGGGTATAAGAGCTAAATAGAGGATGATTTGACCTGTTCCGACTATCTTTCTCCACCAAATTCACAAGCAAACCCAAAAGAGCAACGAGGAAATCTAGCTCTCGATCAGTGAGGGGTGTACTGCTCTTAGGACTCGATTTAGATGATGAGCTACTGTCCCTAGCATCATCAGAATGCGGCAAACAAGTTCTAAATGACGAAAAATGACCGGCAATCAGAGAAGACAATATTTCTAATCCCCCACAGGTGGCAATTTGCCGACAGCCATCAGGGTTGTCGTTCGTCAAGTTCATAAGAACCTGAAAATCAAAATGCAACAAAATGATCCTCTAACAATGATATATATATATATATTGCAAATAAGATAATTATCTGACACAAAGAGACCAACATACGCAAAATGCTTAGATTAGACCCATCATTACCATGTCATTTGGAAGAAATAAATAGGAAATGTGATAGTGTAATAAAATTCACGGAAAAACAACTCACCAACAAACAAAATACAAGAAACAATAAAGAAACTTAGATAGGTAAAAATTTGGAGCGTAAAAAATCCAGCGAAGAATAAAACCAAAGTCCAACGTGGGGATAATTTTTTTTTTTTTTACCAAATAACGTGCAAGCAATATTCATCACAACATCCTTCCAAGAAGCTTATCATGTTCAACAATTTAGTATTCCAATAAATACCAAAACGTGTCGGCTAAAAAATGAAATGCAAGTAGTACCTTGACAGCCGTGAGTAGACAATCCGCCAGGAGATTAGACTTATTATCATCGTCAACAGCCGAAGAACAAGAAGCCTCCTGCGAATGACGATACCCTACATCATTCGATTCTTGCTGGCTAGCCACAAGAACAGGGTGACTCTCAAATCCAAATCGACTCCCACTTTGCCTGTTACCTTGGGACAACGGCTTATTCGAGCTTCCCGACATTACGTCCCACTTTGAGGGCTCACAGTCATCCTCGTCAAACATAAAAGGATCCTGACCGTCGATTCCTGAATTACCACTCGTGCGGACCATCCTATCCGATTCCCTTGATGTCCCGCCACACATTCCTGATTTGGAGGATTCGGCTCTCAGCTTAAGCAACAGGGCATCAGCGGAACATTGAGTGGGTCCCGCGCTCGATCTGATCCCGTCGAGCTGGGTAAAACTTTCCTGAGAAGTTAAACCTAAGCCAGAAAGGCCTTCGAAATGGTTGTCCTCATAAGGAATACAGTCCACCTTTTCATCTTGGGAATTGAATGGTGACGAGTTCCTCAGTAATGAAACACCTAGTCATCAATGACAGATATCAGGGACAAGTGGGTACAGATAAAAATAAATGACACACGTGTGTGTGAGAGAGATTATGGGTGTGTTTGTTTATAAATTTTCTCAATACATAATAAATTTTCTCAATACATAATCAATTCATACTCAAAATCTAACTCCACTTTAACTCAGCCCATTTACCCATCTATCCTCAATATTATCAATATAATTAAACAATATCAATCTTTCTTACACATCGCATTGACTTTAATTCATTATTCATCTACTCACATAATTTAAACTATTCATACTTTTACATCAAATCAACTTTAATTACTTTACTTTAAATATTATTTTAATATAAACTCGAAATCTCACTAACAACTAACCATACCAACTTTAAATATTATTTTAATATAAACTCAAAATCTCACTAACAACTAACCATACCACCTTTTTCAAAATTAACACTAGTTAACCAAAAAAACTCGTTTTGAGCGGATATATTTGTATCCAATCACGCCCTATTAATTGCTCATAGGAAACAGTAAACCATACTTGATACCTGAGAGAATTTTAATGACACTCAGAACAAGCTTTGTGAAAGAACGGGGAGCTCGTTGACCATCAAAACTTCCTTTCATCTCAAGCGAATGGCGCTGAAATACATTCATAAGCAGATTCAAACAACAAGACATCAATTTATAAATAACTTTAAACCTGGTACATAAAACATGACACATTCGAGCATATAAGACCTTGGATCCGCCAAGACAAAACCTGATACCTGATTATCATTGCTAAGGAAAAGCGCATTTTCCATGATTTTTAGACATTTTAAAAGCAGTACTAGGCTTTCTAGGCCCGAGATCTCTCTTGAATCCAGTGCAAAAGTAGGGCTCTTCTCCGACCATTCCTGTATCCAATCAACGAGCATTGGAAAAATAAACTTAATAAAAAACATCAAAGTCTGTAATGGTAGTCATGCAAGCTTAGAATACCATCTTGAAATGCATATAATTCATTGCCAGCAACTTCATAAACCCAAAGGTAAAAAAAAATCAAGGATTATCATCAATTCAAAGTTGGGAAAAAAAATTATTTCCATTTTCAACTCTAAAAGTACATCATATATTCTACTGTCTACAACATTTAAGAATGATTTAATCAACATCAAGACAAGTTCCCCTATTGTGCCACTAATAAAGTTGACCCCTCTTTCAACCAAGTAAAAATTATATGAATCATTATCAATCAGAAAAAATTTCTAAATGCGACGACAATTTCTATGTCCAACCTCCAATGACAAATGACATCTGAACAAACAAGCATGCATCAAAGAAGAATAACATACAAGCTCACACCTCAAGCACGGAATGGCATTTCCTTGCCACTTCAAAGACTGAATCAAGTCCCCCGAAAATTCTCAGTTTCTCCTTGAACTTGCCCCCAGTTTTCCGTATGCCAGTCGTGTCTGATAATAAACAACACAGATAAAAGGGAAGAAGGATGAACTAAATTGATCAAACAAATATTAGGGCAAAAATATATAAAAAGAAGTTCTATTCATATCAAGCCCTCCCCCTCCCCCTCTCCCCCTCCCCCTTCCCCTCCCCCCACCCCAAAAGAAAAATTAAAATTATCTTTAATTTTAAAGTTTATGAGTTTACGAATTTTGCAAAGTCACAAAACGAGTAAATAGATGCAGATCAAAAGGATTCATTTTGATCATAAGAAACAATCACAATTGATGATACTAGATTACACATAAATTAAGTAAAACGAGTTCTAAACCTTCAATAGAGATACGAGATGAGCACGCTTTCTCCATTGTAAGCAAACTAATCCATTTAGGATTCAACTCTGGTTCTTCTACCCCACCATGACTGTCATCTCTGGACTTCATTTCCTTGCAATTGACAAGGATCTCCCGAACCTGGAGCATGATTGCAGTAGAGCTAGAATCTGTTCCCTTGGCTGGCTCCTGTAACAAACCGACACTCCTGCACAGGCTTAGAAGCTTGCTACCAACAGGTAGAGCTTTTTCCTTGACAACGCTTGGTGAAAGTGGTTTCAACATTTTTATTAGAAAATGGATGCAGCTTGGTGAATCCAGAAGATAATCATTTTGACCCTGAAATAATGGAAATTTCATATAATAATTGGTATGAGGCTGGAGGAATACATATCTTGGAATGGCATTGAAGCAAACAGAGATATTATGAACCCCAAAATATGTTCTTGAAATAACTCACGTCAACCGTCAGAACATAAACTAAAGCTGCAGCAGCAACGTTACATGGCATATCATCAAAAGTGAGTCCCAAAACAGCATCGAGGATAATTTCAGCCATCCTAAGAAAAAATAAAACCAGTTATGGATAGTACAATCAACTAGTATCATCTGTAAACTGGTTAGAGTTTCAAAACCTAATGATAAAAATAGCTCAATCACATAGAAGGAGTAATAAACGACAAAGTTTTAAGCACCACTTGATATAAAAGCATATTCACCAGATTTGCCTCTCACTTTCCTATCAGAAAGGTAAACTCTCAACCTTCATGGTTGGACAAAATAAAAAGCTTATTTACTAAATAGTTACTCACCTCAACATTGAAAATGTTGAGCAAAATGGAAATTCTTCAGAAGACTTACAGAAAATCCATTAAATGCACAGAATTTCTTTATCTCACACTATAAAGATCCATTTTCCGAGAAAAGAAAATGATTGTATACTATCCTACTGAACATTTATCCTCATAAAGATGGGCTTCACCAAAACGAATTGAACATAAAGTACCCATGCACTTTCAAAAGCCGCCTCTGCTGCGCTGATCCACAAATTGTTAGCAATGACAGAAGGCTCGCCCTATGAACTGCCACTGGTTGCCCCTTCTTCAGCCCATCCAACGCAAAATTCACCTCATCTTCATGCTCCATCATCTCCCCAGACTCTTGAGTCTCCATAAGTGTAGCAGTAAGCTCAACATAACTTGGCTCTGACTCCTTTGACTTCATCTTTTTCTTATTCTTTTTCCTATGCAATTTCCCATTCTCATCCATATTTTTCTTCTTAGATTTTCCAGAAACCCCCCCAAAACCCCGACGATCACCATTGTTTTCATGTTTTCTCGACTTAGAAGTACCCAAATTACCCAACTCTTGAGAGGAATCTAACGTAAATGAATCAAGATCGAGATTCTTCGACTTCTTCGATTCCCATAAATCCCCATCCTCTGAGAAATCAAAAACCTTATCATCCCTGACCTTGCTTTGAGGTGGAACCACATGTTCCTCCAACTCCTGCGGTGAATTATAATCATATGGATCTGGATTAACCTCACCCCTGTCCCTTTTCCTGGATTTCCCAAAATCCCCACCAAGGTCCCAGCCATCACCTTGGCTTTCGGGATTTCTTGACTGAGAAATACCCAAGTCAGTCAACTCCTGAGAAGAGTTGAGGCCATAAGAACCATTATCAACATTCTTGGACTTCCCCACAAGCACACTATCCTCGGAAAATTCAAACACACTACCCTCCCCGCCCTTCCTCCGAGGCCGCACACCCAAATCGTCCACCTCTTGCGATGAATCATAATCAAAAGGATCGGTATTGACCTTCTTCATCACCCTCGATCTCTGCGAACCCCCTTCACCAGAAATCCTCAAAATCCCGAATTTCTTCGATTCTTGCAAAAAAATTTCATCGGAGGCCCTTGAACCGGCTCCAATTACCTTCAATTTCTTCGAGTTACGAAACTCATCCCCTTCCTTCCTTGGCGGCAGAAACGCCGCCGATCGCCCCGAATCCTGAGACGGGTCGAAATCGTACGGATCGGACGGAAACGAGAAATCGTAAACATCCTGCGAGAATTCTTGGGAAGACGATCCCGAAACTCCATCGGAAAAGCCACTGGACGAGCAACTCCGGCCCAAGCCACGACCCCGGCGACCGTAGGTTCTGAACATCATGCTACCTCTCGAATTCAAACCCTAATCCTTAAAACAAATAAATATAGTCCCTATTATGTTTGGGTGCCCAATTTTAGTCCTAAAAATAAAAAAATGTAGTCCATATTATGTTTTGGTGCCCAATTTTAGTCCTAAGAAACAAAAAATGTGCCTTGCGCATTTCCCTGACGAGCCTCCTGGGTCGTCGTACGTCCGACAGTTGGGGAACTGCTTGAAAAACTCGTTCGAGATGTGGTTTGCGTAAATGACAATTTTGTCCATGGCCAGTGCCTCAATAATTTGTTCCTTTGAAATTTGATTACATCTTTCGATGTTTAAATTATTTTACACAACTACTTTGATGTTATTAACAAAAATGGACCGTTAATTCACATAAATTGAGGTTAAGGGACTACATTTTTTGGATTTTAGGACTAAAATTGGGCACCAAAACATAATATGGACTACATTTTTTTATTTTTAGGACTAAAATTGGGCACCCAAATATAATAGGGACTATATTTATTTGTTTTAAGGACTAAAATTGGGCACGAAAACATAATAGGGACTACATTTTTTGTTTTAAGGACTAAAATTGGGCACCAAAACATAATAGGGACTACATTTTTTTAAGGACTAAAATTGGGCACCAAAACATAATAGGGACTACATTTTTTTGTTTTAAGGACTAAAATTGGGCAGCAAAAATTAATGGGGACTCAGTCTGGATACCCCCTAAACATGGAGGACCAAAAGTGGACTTTACCCTTTTTTTTAAATAATTTTTTTTTTGGTTAATATAAATCGTTATAAATCTCATGTATGAAGGTAAAATTTTAAATAGGATTTTGGTATTTGTAATCTATCTCTTTTTTTTTTTCGGTACAGGGACCTTCTGGTTTCCGGATCTATAGGGAACCGACTAATCCAGAATCGAGCCGGGTAGAACCACAAGGGCGGCAAAGCTTTCCCTTAAGAGTTTTAAACATATAAGAAAATGTTGTAGGGGTTTTGGCGCTGACACGTGGCGAGTTTTTGGGTCCAAAATGCCCCTCAATTGGTCTTATATTTACACGTAATGCCCTCTTTTCTTTGCATTGACTTCACCTTTCATTTATATTCTTTTTACTGAAATGACCCTTATTTATATTCTTTTGACCTGCTTTTAGAGGATACATTGGTCATTTTGAGAAACAGGTTTCCTGATTTTTCTGATAACGTGTGTACGATCTACATCCAACATCTCACAAAATTTTCAAAATCTTTTTTTATCTCCAAAAATCAGATCTCCTTCTTCATCTCTTAGAGCAACTCCAATGCTTGACTGTCAAGTTAAAAAAATTAATGCCATGTCATTTTTACATACGACGTCTTCAAATTTATCTCTCCAGTGGATTTTGTCATTGTATAATTTTATCTGACGTGGCTTGACAGTAGTGAAGCCCACTGTTTGAAACTAAACAGTGTCTTTGACGGTGGGACTTAAAAAAAAAACGTCCCAACTTCTGTAGGATCGTGGGAAAAGTCCAGGAAAGTGGAGAGAAACGAGAAAAATTCAGAATTCGTGGGAAAATATGGCGGGCAATCAATTGAGGGGTTGAAGATATTCGGAGCAATCGACCCTACCAAACTTCAAATCTTGTTCTTTCTTCATCACAATTGGAGGCTGCAGTTTTACAGACGGGTATGATTTTATTCTTCTCCATCGAATTGCATCCAACCAACCATGATTCCTGAATGGTAGATCTCCTACTTCTATGGCACCTTTCTTCTAAATGAACATTTTTTTTTACTTTTAGCGTGGATTTTGTTAGATCCCCTTTGGTTTTGATTGTTAGTGTTTGAAAAATCTATTTAATTTTTCTCTTGATGTGTTTATGCTAATATGTGAGCTTCCTATTTAAAAAGTTGAAATTTCATCTAGTTATTCCCGATACCACTAAAGTCCTTGTTGGGAAAATGTAATTTTTTTTTATCTTACTTTTTTCCTTCATCTTATTCTTTTTATCTTCTTCCTTTTCCTTTGGATTGGATGTGATAAAAATATAATCATCCATTCGAATATATACATACATATATATAAATATTTAAGATGTATAAATAACCGTTATATATATTAATAAAAGTAACTAAAATCTAGTAAAAAGAAAAAAAATTGTAACAAACCTGATGATACGTGAACACATATGAGTCTCCAAGTTTTTTTGTATGTTTAAGATGAGTCTCTAAATATTTTAGTATCAGATTTTACGAAGGGTTATCATTTAATATTCTCAGCCTGGTGTACTTATATGTGGAATAACAAACTCACTAGGAGAACTTAGAAAAAAACTCGTTCAATTTTTTAACAGTATCCCAAAAATACTAAAAACTTGTTCAATATATACAAAAGTTTAAAAAATTAGCAGAATTACAATAACAAAGTATGAAAAAGAGTGTGCCTTTAAAAATCAGTTTAACAGAATCCCTACGAAAGAAAGTCTTGGCGCATTGTATGAAGAATTTGACTGTTTCTATTCTTACTGTCAACGCTGAAAGAAAGGTGATCAATTATCCAATTAATTACAAACACTTGGCATGAACATTTAACATTAACATTCAGTACACTGGAGATACTCTTATCATCCTCCAGCCATATTAAAATTTTGCACAAATTTGCTCCGTTCTTCCTAGCCTCAAAGACCTCCTAGCCTCAAAGACGAAAGGAGAAAAGGCGACACAGGCGGATATTATAACGGCGTTGTCGGCGTGCGGAGGCGGCATCTGAGTCGCACGCAGCGAACAACGACGGAGGGTCTGACCACCGTCAACAGACTCACACTCCTCATCCTCAGCTTCTTCCGCCTCAGCGCCGCCAGGGGAGTCCTCGACAAAGTGAGGGGCTTAACACAATTATTTCAAATTAGTATGTTTTTTCATAACCTACCTCCATGGCTTCCTTCTCCATTGAAATTTGTTTGGGACCTGCATTTTTTTTTTCTTTCTTTTTTTCACAGAGAGAGCTACAAAGGGTTATGCGCTTGTTGGCTCTATTTGGAGCTTGTAGCTGATTGGGACAGTATCAGGTATGTGCTCTTTCATATTTTTTGTTGAATTCAGATAATTTTATTTCATGTGCTCTTTCATATTGTTTGTTAAGTTCAGATAATTTTATTTCATTAATGTATCAAGAGAATTATATTTATATGTAGAAAGAGAGAGAGAGAAGAACCTCTGTGCTGCCATTTTCATCGCTCTCGAACAAGCTATCCAAAGCCTCAACTATATGTTTCAACTGCTTGAAAATGTAAAAGAAATGTGGTATTTTTTTTTTCTCACTTTTTTCTCATTTGATGTTGGATAGATCTTGAAACGAATCTTCATTTTTTCTTGATTAGGCCATTTCGAAATCCGACACCTTTCGAATCAGTTGGCGAAATAGAATTGGAAGCGGTTGTGAGATTGTTTTGGATTGAGGAATTCACCGGAGAAGTTGAATCAACTGATTGAGTGACGACGACAAAAATGGATGATAGAGAAGGATCGTTTGTTGTCGTGCGGCATACTTCTCAGGGGCTGAATGTGCAGATTTTTTCATTAACTACCCTTTTTCTTTTTCTTTTTCTCTATTATTAATTTTTTATGCTAACATTTTGTTTTCCTTTTTTTTTGCGGCAACATGTATATGGCTCTTGTGGAAGCAATTAAGATTTGTTTTCTGTTATCTGTCTTTGTTAACATTTGCAAGGAAGGGTAATTGTTCTCCGGTCGATGTGGTAACTTATTAAAACACCAATCTCTGAATGCACATTGTATTCGTAATTTCCTTTTTTCCATGGCCTGTAATAGATAAGTCTTTGGGTAAAATCTGCTAATTAACTCGATTTTGCTTGTTTCTGGTAAGTCAAATCGAGGATGATGGGGGATTCTGTATACAAAAGCACACTACATTGTTTTGTCAAGACTTTGAAAAATGATAAGTTCCAGAATAAGGTTGCTTAAGTGTTTGAGTAGTGTAGAGGAAGTTGGTCCCAAAGACTCTTATTTTTAATAATAAACCCAAAATCTTCAGTGTACTCGATTTCCTTTTCTTTTTTTCATTTTTTTCCTTATCTTGATATTTTATTCTTGCTTGAGAAACTAATGATTGCGACAGTTTAAGCATTTGAAAACTTCTATTTAAAATGTGGCAGTCGTGTATATCACGTGTTGTTTGCAGGACCGTTGGCAATCTAAGAAGGATTTGTCCCCAACTTTGGGCGGCTATGTTCTTGGAATGTGATCATATTTTTTACTTTGGACCAGGTATTGATTGATCTATTAAAACTATTTCCCTCACTTACGAATTTCTCTTGTCCGTTTTCTGTCAGCCCCAAAGCTCGGGATTTATTTTGACGAGATATTTTATGCTTTGTTTGTTTGAAGGCTAAAAAAATTGTCAGAAATTTAGAGTCCAGAGTCTTCATACAGCTAAAGAAAACGTTTGCAGGCTGTGGGTGTCATTAAAAGGAAGCAAAGTCCTCTCACTCAAATTTTCTCCAAATTGTTGACAATAAACCAAAATAGTTAAATTCACAATGCATTACTGACTTCAGTTCACCATTGTTCTTTTTTTTTTTCCTTTTGTGAACCCTACTTCACGTGTAGGACTGATTTTTGTAAATCTTCAGGACCATGGTCACTTCGAGCCATAGACACGGCTTCATACTCTGCACCAGGCCTTTTCAAGCTAGCATTAGGTAAATTTCTTTTTTTTGTGCTTATATGTGGTGCTTTTTTTTATGTTCTCCATAGGTTATCTAAAAAGTTGTATGGAATTTTTGGAAAATTTCATCAGGTATGGTTCCTTTTTTTACCAAATTATCATCAATCTGTGTTTTTTTTAATATTAATTTGATAGGATAATAATGTTTGTATGTTTAGTTGTTAAGTCAGATGTGAGAGTAAATCGAGAGCTCATTGACATCTCATGGATTTGCAAAATTGCTTGAATGAACTTGATACAGAAATAATAAATTAACGCAGAAGTAGTCGTGTTGCTA